TGCACACTGTTGCTGGTGCCCGCATGAGCGCATGGTGGTGTCCGGAACAGCAGTCTCTGTACTCACAGAATAAGCTATAAAATGGTTTCTTCAGAGTCATGAAAAATGTCGTTAAATATTTCGCTGGCTATAGGAACCATTTCCAGACACGTCCATATTAAATACTGCTGACCTGCTAATGCTGTGTATAGATAATGCGATATTTTTAAAATTCTTTAGAACACGACGACGCCCTTTTAGAATATGTCGCGACCAAGTGCGTGATCACGGCCCACAGTTTGAGAAACACTTCCTCAGACATTGCGAAGTATCCAACATAATATTCGCGTAATGAACTAGCAGTTGTTGCAGATTTTTAGAGAATAATTGAAAGCTCTCATTTTTGTTGCAGCATTGTCATAGAAGCGAGAGGTCAGGTTTCCCCATTCACTGAATGCACGTGTTTCAACGTATGTCGGAAACATATCACAGTGATGGGGGTGAGGGAAGTTATGAGGAAATTGTTTGGGGGTAAGGGAGGTTCGGATCTGGTACCGACATGGTATGAAAAGGGTTGAATTGAAGATGACAGGCCAAACCCCTGCCGATTCTATTGTCTCCGAAATGTTTAATAAACGAAAAATATAATAATTATGACGGGTTTTCGAAATGTTGTACAAGCACATCATTTGACAGTTCCGGTCACAATGACAACTTGTCGCCATTTGCTGCACTGTAACAAGTAGCAAACGCGTGTTGGAAACAGTTACCTGCGGGAAATGGTTTTCTCACATCCATATTTGCTTTATTTGTCGAAAATTAATTCGTATGGAACAGAGAAACATGTTCCGAATCAGCGACATACATATTTACCTTGGAGTTCCCATAATAATTTTTTAAAACGGGACATTTTCATTTTCCCGTAGAAATTGGGGACATTTGGGGAAAAGGGACACTATAACAATTGAAAGAAGACTTCTAATCAACCGCCATGTGCAATGCAAAATTTCGCGTTGAATAACGTGCATTCAGAATCTCATTTACAATTTAATAAACGCGTATTTGTTCTTAAGACTGCACTTGCGTTTTGCCGTCATTACGACTATATGGATGAAAACCGATAAATTCTCACAGGCTATCATAACACAACGCAACGGTCGACATAGACTGCAGAGAATGATATAAACGGAACTTCCGTTATGGAACGTATTCTAATTTTTATGTTTTTGGACAACAAAGGAGAAGACAAAAGGTTCTGGACTGAATGGTAGCAAGCATTACCCGAGTTCAGTCTCCTCTTAATTTCCTCCTGGATCAAGTTTCGATCTTTCATCGTTGTCCCCAAATATCTGAACTGTGCCACATTTTCAAAACATCTGTTTCCTATCTTTATGTCATGATTTTGCCCTGCATTTTGGTGACGAGACAGCAACATATACTTAGTTTTCTCTGTGTTTACTTCTAGACCAACCTCTCTACTTGCGTCAATTAAAGTTTGTGTGTTTTTCTTTATGGTATCTACATTATCACCCGGTAGATTCACATCATCGGCATTCCTTATGCCAAATATAAGTAATTAGATTGTGGATCTTAGAACATAATATTTCGCCTCCTGCTTGAATATTTTCTACCAGAATTTGATCACTACCTGGCGATTTATACCGTTTCAATTTTGCAATAGCACTTTCGACCTCAAAAGGGCTAGGATAAGGTACTAACGGCTCAGCTGTATGTATTTCTGTCTGCCTACCATCACTGACCCTATGTACATTCAATAACTGAGAGGAGTATTTCCTCCACCTGTTCAAAATGTTGTGGGAATCTGCAAGCAGATCACCATTCTCATCCTAGGCAGGAATGGAAACATGGCCGTCCAGCCCGCAGGCTGTCTCTGTTTCAACCAAGCACATTATTTTTGATTCAAGGCTAATTTCTTTCTTTCATTTTAGGTTAATCACTGCTGTACATTATTATAAGATTTAACTATTAGTTATTTACTAGGCCATTAAATATTGCCACCACATAAATATTTCCGAGCAGAAGTCTAAGACTTAATGAAACACGTTTCAAGGTATAAACTTATGCGTGAAGTCCAGTCTGTGAATTACATGATGGCGGTGTGTGATGTTTCAAAAATGCAGGTTGAGGTCTGCTATATTATGATTTTTGTATTCAGACAGGTATTTATAACGTACCGGAAGAGCCTGCTGCTTCCAGCTTCATGGTGCAAGTTACTTCTATCCTGAAGATGGAGGCAGTTTTTCTTCCAGAACGTTAGTAATAATCTACCGGTCTGCATTATCTATAAAATCGCGTTCTACATGCATAATAAAAAAGCCTCCTAAAAGTATGGGCTGTTAGTCAACGAAAAAAGAACTAAATTCCTACACTGTTCTAACAAACCTCAAATAATCCAAGATCTCAGTTGCAGTGACGTAAACACAGAACAAGTTTCTCGTTATAAATATTTAGGGCCTATAGTTAATTTAGATAACACAATTGAACAAGAGATTAAAGAGAGGTTAGCAACTAGAAATAAAGCATATGCTTCACATTTAACACCGTTTAAAAGTAAACTTATTTCTGAAACAGCCAAATTAAGATTATATCAGACGGTAATTCCACCAACAGTAACCCGCGCCTGTGAAACCTGGACACTTAAAGAAGCCATTAAACATTGACTTTTAGTCTTTGAAAAGAAAATTCTAAGAAATATCTTCGCGCCACCAAGAAACCGCGACGGCTCCTGAAGAATTAAAACAAATGAGGAACTAGATAATCTAATAAAAGAAGGAACGCAGTGAACTTCATCAAAGCCCAAAGAATAAGTTGGCTTGGACACATCTCAAGGATGGAGGCTGGACAAACAGTTAAAAGAATATATGAACGGAAGCC